CCAGGCTGAACAAGCCCAACCCCCTCAGCCTGTCCCCATGGCAGAGGGGCTCCAGCCCTTGGATCATCTTCATGGCTTCCTCTGGACTCGCTCGGTCAATGCTTCATGAAGCCAAACAGGCACTTCTGGTTCCTTAACTATCAGGACTGAGCCTTTGTGCCCTAGAACATTTACTTGTATTTAACTGTACCATAGCTAAGCCTTACGGAACGTTTGTATTAACGGCCTTGTGAAATGTTTGGTTTAGATCTTTCTCTCTGTCCATATTTATCGTTTGCAATAGCATCCCAGAGTGACCTGTTGTGGTGGTCGTAATTCATGTGTGAAGTCCTCTGTGGCCATTCTGAGGGACAGATTTAAGAGCAGCAGCAGTGCTGAGTGTGAAGGAAGATCGTAGGCAATGAAAGGACAGCACGCCGAATTACACGGCGGCGTGATGTGCTGTTAAATCCAGATTTCATGGTAACCTGTCAGATGTGCCAGGTGCGCTTGTTTACACGGGGCTGTTTGGTTCTGGTTAGCTCTTACCTTCACACGGGTGCTTTTGGGGTGAGGTGGGGAAGTCTTCGGGTAATACCGGTTCTGTGTCTGTTCCTCTTGTTTTACAGATGTCTGTGGTGATGATTGTAATGTTCTTGGTGGCGTGGTCTCCATATTCTATTGTGTGTTTATGGTCTTCCTTCGGAGACCCAAGGAAGATTTCTCCTGCCATGGCCATCATAGCTCCGCTATTCGCAAAATCTTCCACGTTCTATAATCCCTGCATTTATGTCGTCGCAAACAAGAAGTGAGTACCGGTCCACTTCCCTATTTTAGCACCTAACTGTAGAAGGAGAATCTGTAAAACATGACCAGCTGGTTAGGGAAGAAGCCGAAGGGTAAGCCACTGTTGGTTTACCAAAGGTGACCTTTTGGTCAGGGGAGTCTCGAAGACTGACTCCAAATTTTGTGGAGAAGCGAGTGTTGGTCTCTTCTCCCTAATGACAGATGGTCGGACGAGGGGGAATGGACTCAAGCTGCGCCAGGGGAGGTTTAGATTGGACGTAAGGAAGAAGTTCTTCACCGAAAGGGTTATCACGCACTGGAACAGGCTGCCCAGGGAGGTGGTGGAGTCACCATCCCTGGATGTGTTTAAGAGACGGGTGGATGAGGTGCTGAGAGATATGGTTTAGTGGTGGACAGATACGGTTGGACTGGATGATCTCTGAGGTCTTTTCCAACCTAATGATTCTATGATTCTATGAATTTGTTCTGATCATCGTCAAAACGTACTGAATTGATAAAGATCATAGAATCACAGAACGGTTTGGGTTGGAAGGGACCTTAAAGATCATCCAGTTCCAACCCCCCTGCCATGGGCAGGGACACCTTCCACTAGACCAGGTTGCTCCAAGCCTCATCCAGCCTGGCCTTGGACACTCCCAGGGATGGGGCATCCACAGCTTCTCTGGGCAACCTGTCCCAGAGCCTCACCACCCTCTCTGTGAAGAATTTCTTCCTGACATCTAATCTAACCCTCCCTGATTTCAATTTATACCCGTTCCCCCTTGTCCTGTCACTACAGGACCTTGTAAAAAGTCCTCTCCCAGTACCCTTGTAGGCCCCCTTCAGATACTGGAAGGCTGCAATGAGGTCTCCTCGGATCGTTGAGAATGCATTAACCAAGCTTTTGTGAGACAGTTTTGGAAGCCCCTTTGTGGTTTCTCGAAGGGAGTGATTACAGAATTTGGGTTCCATCAGCAGTAGGCTGGTTTCAGTGACTGCAGCCAAAACATGTGGCAGCTTAGTGCCAGGTGACTTCTGTAGGTTTCCTTGCTTGATCTGGGATGCGTCACGTTCGGAGCGATTAGGATGGATTGATACTTTTCATGAAAGGAAATAAGCTGAGCCTGTTCTTCTGTTTTGAGCAAGCGTATCAAACGCTCTGAGCCAGCCTCTGCCCCTGACCGAGAACTGGGTTTTGCAAAGAGGCATCTTTCCTTTCTCTACCACCAACCTGGAAGCAGAGCCCACCAGCTCTGTACTGTTATTCCTCTTCAAGGCTCAGTCCTTTCGAATTCCAAATACACCATTTTTTAATTAAGTAAGTTTTACTAAAATTGGAAACGGTTGTAATGCTTAAGGCCAGTTATTCTTTGGATTTGATTCTCCAGCTAATGATGTTTTTGCTTTCCCTTTCTTGTCCTTTGCAGGTTTCGGAGGGCAATCCTGGCAATGGTGCGGTGTCAGACAAGGCAGGAGATCACGATAAGCAATGCCTTGCCCATGAGCGTATCTCAGAGTGCGCTGACATCGTAGAACTCGTGTCGTTTGTCTGCATAAGTTACACGGAAAGGGGTGAAATCTGGGTTAAAGTTAATTAATCTTTTGGAAGTTAATCTTTTTTGGAATAATAATAATAATCTGCCCCAGCCAGCTGTTTTCTGTTAATCACAGTAATCTTGGTAGATAGGCTAGGAAGAAAAAAAGGCAAAAACCACTAGGACTTTAGTTTTTAAGAGTAAGGTTTATTGGCCCAATATGTCTGTCCCAAACAAAAAAAGCTAATGAAGTGGCCACTAGGTTTTTACAGGGTTTTCACAGTCAACCCCAGTGACTTTTACAGAGTTGGACAAGGTGTCGCAGGGGCAGCGAGGGACTGAAGCAGGACATGCTTAGGCTCAGTAGATTGTGCACCTGCAATTCCTTTCATGAATTACTTTTCACTCAACTTCCCTTGTAAATTTTCCAGACTTGAAATATTCTGGATTCTCCCTGTGTGAATGTATTTCTGTACCAGGTGTCCATGTTGATATGCTTTGAAAAGTTCTGTTTTCATGAATATGTTAAGATATCAAAATATCTAGCAAAACTCCATTATCAGCTTTTAGGATTTTGAAGGAGTTTTAGGATATTTAATGCATTTTTAAAGTTTTGGCTCCCACAACCAAATGAATTTGTAGGAAAGACAGTTTTTCTTTCAGTAGTAGTACGTTTCTAGTGCTTATAACTGCACAGCAAGTCCTGAAAATGAAACAAAATGCACCGTAAATCTTGATGCTTGGGAGGCACGTAAAACTGAGTAAATACTCATGGTCATTTCTCCTCATTTCGAAGTCAGTTTCCTGGTTATCAAGGTCTGTTGTGTAATTTTACAAAAAAATACCTTTGGTGATGTGAGCAATGGGTTTATTCAGGCTGGAAAAGGTGACTGTATAGATCTGTTTAGGAGTGGTAGCACATGCACTCTTGATGATTCTCAGATTTGAGAATAAATACCTTCTATTATTATGTATGCATGCATCTGAAGTTCGGCTTTGCAGCGTGTAACTTATTTAAAATATACTTTTTTTGTGTAAGAACCTGTTTTTACAGGTTTTTTTTTAAAAAGCTCTGGAGTCTAGGTTTCCTATTAATTTGTTATTTCTAGTATTAAGGCATATGCCATGCAATATCCTCATGCTGTACTGGATCTCCTTCAGGATTTTGGAACACTTTTTGGACAGTAACTAATGCATTGCCTCTTATAAGGAGCAAAGAGATACTCTGTGACTTACTAACCCTACAAACTATGTAATAGAATAGCAACATGCTGGAGAGGATTTGAAGCGGCGTGTGTTCTGACAGAATAAAGAACGAGCAGGTTGGACTGATCCCTCTCAGGATCCATTTGAAGGTTAAGCAACGACAGATCTCGGCTAATCTGATGTAATCTGCTGTTCCTAAATGGATGCCTACGTTCGCGTTCGTAGCACACTGCACATGAGTGCCTAGGAATAAAGTTTTCCAGTTTTTTTTCGGATCGGTTCTGTTGGGAGGAAGCCATGTATCTCTTTATTTACTTCTACCTCCTAATGAGCTTTTTTGAAGAAATGCACGGGTTTTGTCCTTCACAGTGCACTTGCGTTTACCATGGCAGAAGTGATGGCACTGGATCAAGGTATATGTTTTATTATTTGTTATACAAGGCAATTTATGAGGAAAAGGGTTGAAGAAATTGGAAATAACATTCTCTTACATAGTTCTAGCATAGTTGAATTAAAGGTGTGTTTTATACTGGTGCTGTATGACTAGCTGTGTTCCTGAATGGGAGCAGATGGCGATTATGGCTTTCTTCTCAGCAAATAGCTGCTCTAAATCAGCAAATCTCAGCAAATAGCTGCTCTGTTTTTGCAGCAGGCAATTTCTTTCTGCTCCCTGATTTTCCCACCATTGTAATGCCCTTTGTATTTCTACAAACTAGTTGTCTACTGTAAGGTGTTTCTGGTTTAAAGAAATACAGTAATTTCTTCCTTTTTTTTTTTAATCTGCAGGAAAATGATACAATTTTTGGTAATAAAGAGGTTAATTTGAAATTTGATGATCTGGGTATTATCACGTCAATTTTGGGAGGTATTGCTTGTCATTGCTACTTACTGTCACAACATATCTAGCATAAAGCTGCATGAGGAGAAGGTAAGATAGAGGAAGAATATAGAGAAAGAGGGGAGAAAATTAAGGATGGGCTCACTGGGGAGAGGGGGTCGTCAGGCTAAGGTGTGCAAACAGCGTGCGCCAAAAAAATGGAAACATACTGCTAATTGAAAATGCTGAGAAATCCCATTTCACTGAAGTTAACAGGAGCAGAAAGTTCTTAGCACCTCTAAAGAGCCGTATTTTCTATATAAACAGCAAAAAGAGGGCTAGAAAGCTCTCCTTTGGCCATATATGCTGACATTTTTCAATTTTCGGTCTGTTCTGAAAAGTAAATATGGGCAAATACTTTGAATCTTCATCATGCAGGAAAGTTAGGAATTAGTAATCCAGTATTCTGAATTTTAGTAAAGGAGGTGGCATGCAGTTCCCCTTGGGATGCGTGCGTGTATCCTTCCTTCTGCAGTGGCTTCTGTTCTCCGTTGCCGATAGAACAACGGGTAGAAGATGGTGCTGACGTGCTTGGGAATAAAGCAAATCTAGATTTCGTGTGGAAGCATTGTTGCTATTTTGTGTTCTTTTTCTCTGCGGAAACTCCACGTTTGTCTTTTCCGTTTTGAACTGCAGAGGGCTGTTCTTGATTTGACATTCTCTACTCTGTTAGCAGCGTGGCAGAAAGTAATAGAATTCGCATTTAAATTTGAAATGCAGATTTCTGATAAAGAAATGTCGCTCTCTCTCTCTCTGTTATTTTTTTTGATGCTAGGTCTGTGCTCTGTAACGATCCTGACATGTATGAGATCCCTGTGAATGTCCCTGTGGATACTGTAAAGCTTCGTATAGAGAAAACTGTCATACGAAGGATTCCGACTGAAGCCTTTTACTACCTAGTAGACCTCAAATACCTGTGGGTAACGTACAACTGCGTAGCCAACATCGATATCAGCAGTTTCTATAATTTAAAACAACTGCATGAGCTACGGCTGGATGGTAATCTGCTCTCGACTTTCCCTTGGGAATCGCTGGCAGAGATGCCCAACCTACGGACTCTTGACTTGCACAACAATAAAGTGACCAGCATTCCGGCGGATGCTGGCCGGTACCTGAGAAACCTCACCTACGTGGACATATCCAGCAACAAGCTAACCACCTTGCCGGCGGACCTGATGGACATTTGGCCCCCCTTCTCGGAAGCTGTCCTGTCCAAGAGCACAGACGTTCTGGCGACCCAGAGAGTCATTTTGGGTACGTTAAACAGCCCGTCTCATTCCTTGTTAAAATGCACCTACGCGTTGCAGGAGAGAGCAGGTAGGGGACCAGCCTGGGATTCAGGAGAGGGAGGAGGGATTTATCCAGGTCAGTCTTCTGGTTCGCTCTCTGATTATTTATTTATTTTCTGTTGGTGACAGAAAACTTTAAAACAAGGTAGTGACCTCCACATACGTTGTTATCTCAAGTCAAGTCTGGAGTAAGATCCACCAGATTCTGGTCTGTAGGAATAAGGGCCACATGGAATATTCAGTATCCATATAAATCCAGGACTTCCAAACATTGTGTTTCTGGTGACGTTTCCCTCTTCGCTGCACATGGTTGCAACACCAAGCATGTCCGTTTGCAACTGGTTTTTCTTCCGGTGGCTCACAACCGGACGAGTAGCTGAGGTGATGCTCGTGGGAAGCCTGGGCTGGGACAGCGCTGCGGGTAGTGTTGGTGCCTCCAGAGAGGGCAACCTGCTCTCCCCGTGACTCCTGCTGACCTTGCCTTGCTCTAAACTGATTACCCTGACGTTTTTCCCAATTTATGTGTTGAATATGAGAGTGGGAGTAGGAATCTGATCCCTACAAATTCACAGTACTGTTTTGTAGAATTTAGGGTAAGTACTTAAGAACAGTTTGGCCAGACTCTTTTCATAATCTTATTCCATCATTATACCATCACATCAGCTCTGTTTGTGACTCTGTGCTTTGTCTTACGCTTCCTCTCCACTCCTGAGCCTTGAAGGTAACCCCTTTTTCTCCTGCAGTCCGTGAACGTGGCTGCAACAGCTCCATCAACAGCGTTTTCTGTCGCCGTTCACGGACGAGCACATGATTTGATGGTTTTGTAGTGTCCTGTAGCAGGTGGAAGGGAGGAAAACTGCCTGGCTCTCCCTGCTGCGGTACTTCTGTACCCACTGCAAAAGATCTGCCCTGCATTGTCCTGCCCAGTATTTCCAATTTCTTGATCTAACCACCCCCCCAACTTTTCCACGCTGATTAGTTCAGCTGCTTTCTCACAGCAGAAGCTGCAATTGAGGGCCACGAAGATGATCAGAGGGCTGGAGCGCCTCTCCTATGACGAAAGGCTGCGAGAACTGGGCTTGTTCAGCCTGGAGAAGAGGAGGCTCCGAGGAGACCTCATTGCAGTTTTCCAGTATCTGAAGGGGGCCTACAAGGGCACTGGGAGAGGACTTTTTACAAGAGCCTGTAGTGACAGGACAAGGGGTAATGGGTACAAATTGAAATCAGGGAGGCTTAGATTAGATATCAGGAAGAAATTCTTCACAGAGAGGGGGGGGAGGCACTGGGACATGTTCCTAGAGAAGCTGTGGATGCCCCATCCCTGGATGTCTTCAAGGCCAGGCTGGATGTGGCTTTGAGCAACCTGGTCTAGTGGAAGGTGTCCCTGCCCATGGCAGGGGGGTTGGAACTAGATGATCTTTAAGGTCCCTTCCAACCCAAACCATTCTGTGATTCTATGATTCTATGATTTGAAACTCTCAATCAGATGAGATTGTGTAGAAGTAACTTTAATAGGTGTGAGTAGGCTGAGCACGTTCCACACATGCATGGCAATTGTAGGTTTGCAGCATTAATAGGATCTTCCTTTATTAGGATTAAAAAAACCCCAAGGAGAAGCTGTAAAAG